TGAACAGTTAAGTCACATCGAAAGAGACCATCACTTCGTCTGGTTCGATCGTTAGTCCTTTGATGCGTTCCAGGAATGCCGTGGGACCTTTCGCATCATTTCGGTTTGCAGGTAATGATGGGCGTAGTAGTTGGAAGAGGTACCCTGCGAGATTGTAGTTGGGTGCTGCTGTGGATGCGACAATGGGTAGTAATGGTACATGGAGTTTGTGCACTTTATGTGGTCCATAGAACCGTGGTGTCGGACCTTCTGTGGGTTTGACTCGTCTATATTCTTCATCTCTTATATATATTCCATCCCTTATCTTAAAAAAGACCTTTTCATCACTAGATGACATTTAATTTACCTCGTCAAGTTGTTGCTTTGAGAAACGCACCGTGTGAAAGTTTTTCGGGGTAGCAGCAAGGTCTTGCTGTCCTCAAAATAAACTCAATCGTATTCATTTAGATCACTTCCCACTTTCTCATTCGAACACCTCGCTCAAATTGAATACCTTACGCCTCAGTACAGTTTTGTTTAGAAAGTATCCAATCTAAAACCAGACAATCTGTGCTCCGCAATTCTGTCAGATCCTTTGATCTCTCAGCTGCCTGTATATCACAGCTGTACCCGTTCGATTCTGTTGCAACAGAATGATGATGATGCGTATCGTCCGGCGAATGTCATTCTTCCTCCTTATTGCTTCCCTAATCCGTGCGTGTGTCTCACCGTGCTACACTTTTCACCCTCCCCGGCTCCCCTCCGTCCCGTCCCATCTCCACCGATGCATTAGACGGACAAATCCGGTCGGAACTTCCTGCATTTGGCCGTGCAGAATGTGGACCGAGCAGCCATATTTTTTCTCATTCAAACCGGGATGGATATGAATCGACGGGTGGCTGACATGAACCAGTACACCCCGTTGCATTTGGCCATTATAGCCGGGGTACCGGAAGATATTTTCCGCAGTTTGGTAAGTTCCATTCTATTCATTCTTATCCACAGTAGATTGGGAGAACTTGGAAGAGCTCGTCTAAAAAGTTTGAAAACCTTGTAATCAACATTTTGTGACTAATTGAAATACTTCATTACAGATCCAATCGACAACCTATTTTTTGCAACCAACTGATTGTTCCGTACAGAAAGCTGGCAAGTGTTATCGGTATTTAAACATTGACACCCTCGGAAGATACTCGTCGTCTAGAAGTCTTCGACTGCCGATGTTCACGTTGTTTGGCGTGGATTGGATGGAGCGAGCGTGCAAGGCGTCGCGTATTGGATAATGTCTCGA